CACACACACACATCCTTGCATTTTTTATTATATTGCCTATCTATACTTTTTTTCGTTATGGATGGCTTGCGATGATCTGTGAAGGGAATGAGAGAGAGAATCTGGGGTCTTTTAAAACAGCACACAATGCCTCTATAATTGTGGTCGACGGGCCGCTGTGTTCCTAGCATGTACGAGCCACGTAGCCTGTGACGTCTGCGCCGTGCCATTCGATGCAGCAACTGTGACTGCGAAAATTGGATGCGGTGCTTCCATAGCCCACACCCGAACCGGTCCTGTCCGTTCTGTAGGGATGGCCACTCGCCATATGCTTTTTTTGCTAGAGTAGTCTGTTTCAGCGGTGTATATTGCCCGAACCGGTCCTGTGAAGCTCGTCATACACCTCTTCCCTGCTCTTTGCATGTCATACTCTATCCTGCCCTCCACATATTTCTTTCCTTCCCGTTGCCCCTACCTCCGCTGCCCCATATTCCCATAGAACACCGCCTTCTATCCCTTACCCTCCACCCTTCCCTCCACTCCCTTTGTGCTACTAACAAATACATACGAATGAGCATCAGAAATTATGAAGATCAGAAATGAAATGAACGGAAGTATGAAGATGAAGGATGGAAGTATGAAGATCAGAAATGAAATGAACGGAAGTATGAAGATCAGAAATGAAGCTGAAGATCTAACGTGAAATGAACAGGAGTATGAAGCTGTGAAGAGAAATGCACAGGAGCATACCTTCCCTTTTACTCTGCCTCCTGAAATAACGTGCAATTGGGCCGTGAAGGCACACGGGGATGCAGGCAGCTGCCGCTCAACCACAAGCAATGTGGGCAGCCTTGTGCGTAAGAGGCACAGTAAAAGGGGAGCTGCAAGAACAATGAAAGGGGTACCCCAAGGACAAACACAAAACTGTCTAATTATAAAATTGCTTTGATATGCTGGACATCATAAATGCTCTTGTTGTCTGCAATAGGACAAAGACTGCTTTGATTCTGAATCTATTCCTCTGGGTGGAATTGGGGCTGTTGTGGGAAAATCTAACACACACACACACACACACACACACACACACCTCCCCTTGGTAGAGAAGAGCCAGCCATAGTGTAGTGATCGAGAGTAGGGAGAATGTAAGCAGGGACATGGATGGAGGACAAGCCATAGTGCAATGACTTCTGATTCTGCAGCCTGCAACCCGTCGACCCGAGGCTGTAACATAGGTCGGTTAGATTTGTTATTTTGTTTGGCTGAGGGCTACTGAGATATCTGACTGTGAGGAAAGTTCGTGAGGGACATATCTGTAAATTTGGGAAAATTGCAGGCCCAGACTAACTCGAGTTTCCTAAAGCTACCCTAACTGCGAATAGCAGGCCCGGGCTACCACTAGGACAGACAGGCCGTGAGGCCTATGCTGTTAGACGATTGCTATTGCCTAAAGCTGGGTAGGGGAAGGCCCTAGAGGCCGGAATAGAATCGGTACCGGCTGGTCCAGTCAGTCCGGTCTAGGTCGAGACTAGGCTAGGGTAGTTCTATTAATAGATTGTAGGAGTCTGTTCAGGGCTTTTGGCAGTTGGTACCGTGCACATCGCAATGGCGCAACGCGTGAACTGGAGCGGTGACAGTTTCAGCGTTGGGGGAGACAGACATAGCCGGACCTTCGAAGCGTCGGCCATAGCTGGGACCTGCGCTGTTCTCTGACAGCATGCGAGGCTGTTCACAGTCCGGGCTATCTGAAGTCTGCTGGAGGCAAGAGAAGTTGGTGCCCTGCTGAACCCTCCTCGGGAGTAGGGTATCAGGGAGTGGT